ATTCTCTATCAAGTTACTGTCATTATAATCACTTGACGTATTATGGATACTCAAGAAAGTATTTTATATTCAGAGATTGTTTTAAAGTTTTGCAACCTTAAATTTTGTCATTTGCTGCGAACTTTTGCAACACAATCAACTTTAGGTGATCAAATATTTATTTTAATTTATTCCACAAGTCAAGGTGATTCTTGACCATGAGATATTCCAATTTTAGTTCTTCATCAATATAATGTCGGAATAATATTTATTGCCTGAATTTAGCTTTAATCAGTGGCATAACAACCTTTAATTATTATTTATTTAATCTTTATTTTTTGTTATCAGAGCAAAAACATGAATTTCAAATGTGTTTATGCATTCATGACCATAATGGGTAATTATTGCCAAAAATGACTAGTGATAAATTTTTATTAAAATATTAATATACCTACCTTTCTTACCTTTCAAAATATAGTGCGGTGAGTTACTCGTGCTGATAACAACGTATATATTATTATAGGGGTAGCCAATAAATATATTAATTACATCTACCGCTAATTACTACTTCCTTTGCCCCAGTTAAAGTGTTAACGCTACTGTAGACATGAGAATATAGGTAAAATATAATTAATAAGTAATTAAAAATTGTATTAGTAAAAATAATTATTATATAATAAAAATAATTATAAAATAAGATTAAGATAACTAAATAGTTTAATTAAGATTAAGAAATTTATAAATTATAAAATTTAAAATATGATTAAAGTTGATAATCATATTTCTATAAAAAAAAAGAAACAAATTATGTGGAACAGACGAATATAGGAAACGTGAACATTTTATATGAGATGAAAAAAGTATTTTGTATATATATAATATGATATATATGGTCAGATACAATATATGTATGTGTATCAGTATGTATGTATATATATATTCATAAGTGGAGTATTATTAGATTAATGTGTGTATTCGTTCTTTTGTGTATGAATATATATGATGTGCAATAACTTATTTATAGACAAATGAAGTATAAATGAAATGATGACATGCATTCAACAAACACATATTGGTACACTACGTGTACATTATTTATAACATTTTAAATTTTGTTATCTCCTAGCAATTTATAAGAACATTTAAATTATTGTTATTCCAAAAAAAGATTAGGTCAAAAATTGAAGCCATCTTTAGATTTCAATTTATTTTGAGAAAAGAAAATTCCAATTTTTTTGACCCATTAGTCGAGTCCAATGGTCATGAATTTCTGACTCAAGCTGAAGCCCAGCCCGAAGGAAAATATATATATACGTTGTATTTGGTCAAGATCTGACCCGTCTAGCGATGATCCGACCCGCGGCCCAATTTCCCCCAATCAGATCCCAACCGTCCATTACAGTGATATTTATATTGTTGCCTCTCTCATTTGCTGCGCAGTTATTGATATTCTTTCTCAAAGGGTTTTCTGTCGCGATCATTCTTCCTCTTCTCTGGTGTATCTCCGACGTGTGTTTTCCTGTGATATTCACTCCGATTTAGTTAGGCCTTTGTTCTGCGGGACATTGGGAAGTGTTTGACGAGGTTTATACGGTCCGATTAATCCAAACCATGTTGTTCTATTTCGAGGTGTTGATGTATTTTTTCAACAATAAAAAGTAAAATCCGAAAATAGGAAATTATCTTCGAATTTGATATAATTAGTGCCTGAGATTAGGAATCTCTAAACACTGTATGATACATAAATAAAATAGAAAAAATAAAACTAAAGACTGGAAAATAAAGTGGTGATCCCCAAAAACAATTCTCTTGAATTTGATGTTGATTGAAGATACCTTGTCCGAACAGACCCGAATCTTTAAATAACCCCTTAAAGAAATGGTTTGAACCGCCATCTGGTCGGTTACAGCAACCGCTGTCAACCGTCCACTAGGTTCTCCTCTGTTGACACGTGTGTTAACCGACTCACTAACTGCTCTCACTAGTTACAGCGCTCAACTGACTTGTTTAACCGCCCGACTTGCCTGACTCCTCTTCACCCAGCCTTATCACATCCGACCTCCGCACCTGACTGGATCACATCTTACCTCAGTTCCCGACCTTATCATGCTCTATCTCCTTGTCCGACCTTATAACGTCCGACCTCACTGCCCGACGTTATCACGCCCGACCTCCGAGCCCGACCTACTCACATCTGACTTTAGCGTCCGACCTTTGTGCCTGACCTTACCGTGTCCAATCTTAACACCCGACCTGATCACGTCCGACCTCCGTGCCCGATCTGATCACGCCCGACCTTTGTGCCCGACCTTACCGCGTCCGATCTCAACACCCGACCTAATCACGTCCGACCTCCGTGCCCGACCTGATCACGCCCGAACTTAGTGCCCGACCTTACCGCGTCCGATCTCAACACCCGACCTAATCACGTCCGACCTCCGTGCCCGACCTGATCACGTCTGACCTTAGTGCCCGACCTTATCACGTCCGACCTTTGTGCCCGACCTTACCGCGTCCGATCTCAACACCCGACCTAATCACGCCCAACCTCAGTGCCCGACCTTATTACACCTGGGCTCTGCATCTGACCTTATCATACCTGAGCTCCATGTTCGACCTTATTACCCCTGGGTTCCGCAACCGACCTTATCGTACCTGAGCTCCGTGTTCGACCTTATTACACCTGCGTTCCGCACCCGACCTTATCGTACCTGAGCTCCATGTCTAACCTGATTACCCCTGATTTCCGCACCCGACCTTATCGTACCTGAGCTCCGTGTCCGACCTTATTACACTTGGGTCCTGCACCCGACCTTATCGTACTTGAGCTCCGTGTCCGACCTTATGACACCCGATCTCTGTCTTCTCCCGAGGAAGCTTTTTCCCTAATCAACATTTATATTTGGGATTTTTGAAAGCCCATTCAACTCAAATAAACCTTAACTTGATTTAGTAGGCCTATTCTCAAAAACCCTACCCATCGCTTTTTTGTGCTCAACAACTTGCCTCATCCCGCCTAACTCCTAAAAGTCACTCCTTGAACTGCGTGAGACGTGACATTTAGGGGTTTGCAAAACAGTGTGATCATTACACTGCTTCGCGTCAAATCAAGGGGTTTATGTAAAACCCTTCCTTCACCCTCTCAAATTCACGCATTCAGAGCTCTGAAATTCTTCTCTTTTTCTCCATCCAACTGCCTCCTCTGAAACCTTCTTCCTCTCTGTCTTCTTCACCTCTTCGCAAATGGCTAACCAATACGTCCCCGCTCTTCCTTTCGATGGGGCTGACCCCTCAGTGCCTTCTGTGGCTTCGAGGGTTCTAACCCCTACCATACGCCCTTACTGCACCACCACCAAAGATGTTGATCGTATGAGATCCGTTATCTCTCAGGTTTCTCCAATCATCGTTAACGATACTGCATTCAAGCCATAACGTCTTCTGGACAGTATCAGGACTCACCTCACTGATCCAAAAGACGCCTACCGTAAATAGTACGCGCGGCTTCTCCCCCACTTTGAAGAACAATGGAAAAAACAATGCATTGACAAGGCCATACTCTTTTCAATGCAGCCTCTTTATCTTCACGACAAAGCTTTACTAGCGATGAGAGCCTTTTGGCATTCCCAGATGGGCGTATTCTTCCTCCATGCTGGTCCTATCGGCCCGACCCTGATAGACGTGGCCGTCATTGCGCATTTGCCAATTGTAGGCGATGACCCTGTTCTAACTTCTTTTGAGGGTTAAGGGCCTTCACCCAACCATGCTGGTTGGGCCCTGGCCAAGCTCCCTAAAAAAGAGAGAGGCTGGACTAATTTTTTTAACAAATATCAGGGTAAGGAAGGCACCTCTGTTTCCGAACTGGAGCAGTGCTCCTGTAGTCGGTCGCTCGAGCTTTTCCTTTTGGGTGACGACTCCTTCTTCTCCTTCCCTTTATCTACTCGCTTTCCATGCCGAGCCGCATACCTGCGCTTAGCATTACGAATTTGTGTGTGATTCATACCTGGAAATCGGGGATCTATGTCTATTGGCAGAGGCTTTCTGTTTCGGCTCCATTTGTCATGGACTGGCTGTGGTTTGCGTGTTGGTCGGTCTCATACCACAGCTTTATCCTTCAACTACACTTCGAAGGACCCATCTTCTTTATCCTATTTCTCCGCCACTCTAGTTTCGCAAACTTTGAACTTGTTTTCCTGATCGTGTTCCCGCTCTTTGGGCTTACGCTCCTTTCGCTTGGTATTTTCCTCACCATCACTTTGCGTATCTTGTAAAGAACGCAGGGAGATCACAGCAGTAGTCACTTTTGGGAATGAGTAGTGTTCCACTCCCATTGTTACATACTTGAATCTCCTTGCTCTGATAGCCTTCTGCATTTCCTTTCGGAAATGCGTACATTGATTAGTGTAATGCATAAAAGAATTATGCCACTTACAGTATGGCCTCCCTTTTATCTCTTCTTTCGTTGCTAAACGCTGCCCTTTAGGAATGCGAATTTGCCCGTCTGCTAGTAGAATATCGAAAATTTCATCTGCTTTAGACGCATCAAAGGTCGGTTGTTTCTTCTCTTCTGTCCCCGGAAGAAGCTTTAGTTTGGAACACACATACGGCTTGCCGCTCACAAGTTCAGCTGTCATTTCTTCAATGATGTTTCCCTGCTCATCATCTGGCGCATACATTTTTGTATCAACACTGGCCATCTGTTGAACCCTGTTCCGTCGGAAATTATGATCTTTTTCTCAAAAAAAAAGATTCTAGCCTTCCTGCTTTGGAAGCCAGGCTGGCCAGATCCTGAATATCGTGGGCTGTCAATGCATCCCGCAGTCTGTGTACATATTCCTGACCACTAAATTAGTCATCTCGCTTTCTTCAATGATTGTCGGGCACCGACCCTTCATTAAACGTATCTGCTCTATAAATTGATAAGCAGTCTCTTCTGGCATCTGCCGGATCTCTAAGAGATCTGCGAGCGAGACTGTTGGGAGCGGATTAAAGAATCTTGCATGGAATGCGGCCTCCAGACCTTTTCAAGTTTGAAACTGTCCTGTTGGTAAATTAGCGAACCATGAAAAAGCGGTTCTTGTGAGCGATAATCCAAACAACTGTAATTTGTAAAACGAATTATTGCCCACTTCCCCCAATTGAGCCGTGAAGCGTCCCACATGCTCAATGGTTGATGCTCCATCTTCTCCTGAAAACGAGTGAAAGTCGGGTGGTCTGTAATTCCTCGGAAGGGGGTGCTCATTGATGACTCTTTCTGAGAATGGCCTCTGATAGGCTGGTCTATTGACCGTCTGAGGATTCATTCCAAAATGCACTCTCAAGACTTGAGCAATGTCTTCCGGATCTACCCTGGGTGGAACAGGGTCAAATACAGGAATAGAATTGTGAGCCTGTCCTCCCAATCTTTGTTCTCTGGGGTCGGTTGGTTCGACCCTAACACCCAGTGGAACATTATTTGGGTATGTGAGAGGAGTCTTTCCCCTGTCAACCCTAGTGGCAGTAGCACTTGGAAAAGTGCTATCCACGTAAGAGGGCCCCGCAAAATTTGCCTGTAATCTGGATGGTGATGACTCTGGCGGTGTCTGGGTGGGTTGCAGAGTAACCCTTGATAATGTCTGATTTAGCATATTTTGCATAAGGTTTTGTTGCTCCCGCAACATTTGTTGCTCCCGCAACATGTTTTGCAAAGTCTGATTATGCTGATTGTTCAATTGTTGAATATAGGACACCCAGTCAGCAGGTGCTTGAAATGTTTCCCCTGCATTTGGCATGATAGGTGGTGAAACAGTTTCTCCCACTGGTGCTGAAGATGCATGAGGCTGTGACCCTGCCATATGGATCCTTTCGATGATTCGGCCGAACCTCAATCTTATGAAGTTCTCTGTTGACATAGGATCAGAAATCTTGTCTTTCTCCCACTGTGGTCTCCAAATTGTTAATGTATTTTTTCAACAATAAAAAGTAAAATCCGAAAATAGGAAATTATCTTCGAATTTGATATAATTAGTGCCTGAGATTAGTAATCTCTAAACACTGTAGGATACATAAATAAAATAGAAAAAAAATAAAACGAAAGACTGGAAAATAAAATGGTGATCCCCAAAAGCAATTCTCTTGAATTTGATGTTGATTAAAGATACCTTGTCCGAACAGACCCGAATCTTTAAATAACTTCTTAAAGAAACAGTTTGAACTGCCATCCGGTTGGTTACAGCAACCGCTGTCAACCGCCCACCAGGTTCTCCTTTGTTGACACGTGTGTTAACTGACTCACTAACCGCTCTCACCAATTACAGCGCTCAACTGACTTGTTTAACCGCCCGACTTGCCTGACTCCTCTTCACCCAGCCTTATCACATCCGACCTCCGCACCTGACCGGATCACATCTGACCTCAGTTCTCGACCTTATCATGCCCTATTTTCTTGTCCGACCTTATCACGTCTGACCTTACTGCCCTACCTTATCACGCCCGACCTCCGAGCCCGACCTACTCACATCCGACTTCAGCGTCCGACCTTGTGTCTGACCTTACCGTGTTCGATCTTAACACCCGACCTGATCACGTCCGACCTCCGTGCCCGATCTGATCACGCCCGACCTTTGTGCCCGACCTTACCGCGTCCAATCTCAACACTCGACCTAATCATGTCCGACCTCTGTGCCCGACCTGATCACGCCCGACCTTAGTGCCCGACCTTACCGCGTCCGATCTCAACACCCGACCTAATCACGTCCGACCTCCGTGCCCGATCTAATCACGCCCGACGTTAATGTCCGACCTTATCACGTCCGACCTTTGTACCTGACCTTACCGCGTCCGATTCAACACCCGACCTAATCACGCCCGACCTCAGTGCCCGACCTTATTACACCTGGGCTCCGCATCCAACCTTATCATACCTGAGCTCCATGTCCGACCTTATTACCCCTGGGTTCCGTACCCGACCTTATCGTACCTGAGCTCCGTGTCCGACCTTATTACACCTGGGTTCCGCACCCGACCTTATCGTACCTGAGCTCCATGTCCGACCTTATTACCCCTGAGTTCCGCACCCGACCTTATCGTACCTGACCTCCGTGTCCGACCTTATTACACTGGGTCCCGCACCCGACCTTATCGTACCTGAGCTCCGTGTCCGACCTTATGACACCCGATCTTTGCCTTCTCCCGAGGAAGCTTTTTCCCTAATCAACATTTATATTTCGGTTTTTTGAAAGCCCATTAAACTCGAATAAACCTTAACCTAATTTAGTAGGCTCATTCTCAAAAACCCTACCCATCGTTTTTTTTGTGCTCAACACGAGGGTTTGGATTTCTTCTTTTTGGGTAGGAGATAAGCTCAACAAGTGTCCGTTGGCCGTCGCCGGAGCAGCTCTTCCTTCCTATCGGTTTCTTTGTTCGATAAAGTTAACCGATTTTAAATTTGAGCCACATTAGTGTGTTGTTTGTGATCCATTTTTGTTACGCTTTGTTTGTGCTCTTTAATAAAGCTCTTTTTGTTTCTTTCAAACTTGTTTTTCATTTTAGTATTTCCGATCCTAAAACTAACAATAGTTACAGAGCTACTAGGTTTTTTTTTTTAATAAAAAACGCAAGTTCTTGGGTGTTCCTTCGTTGTTTTGCAAAAGAATTGATGTGCTTTGTTATTTCTAAATCAGACCTTGAAAGATTTTTTTTTTTCTTCTTTGAAAGTTATTGTTTCTGGATTTGCCTCAGATTATAATTTTTGTTCTATTTTTTGTTTTGTCAGTGAACAATTTTTTTTTTAAAAAAAAAATTCTGCAGCAAACAGTTTTTTTTTTATTAAACTTGTTATACATTAGTTCTATCCAGTTCTAGAAATAGGTTTTTTAAAATCTGTTACGAACATATTTTTGTTTTAAATAATCTGTTATGTTCTTTTTTAAAAAAAAAAGAAAAAGTGTGTTTTAGAAAGCGAAGGAATTATTTGAAAGAAAAAAAAAAGGAACAAATATTTGTATTCTGTATTAAACTAACATTTGTTGTGATTTTTTCAGAGCACAGCTTAGACAGGCCTTAAAGAATCGGCACTGGCGTGTAAACTCATTGGTAGTTCACATAAGGTTTTTCATAATTTTTGAAAACCCTATTGGTAAAAGGCTTAACCCTTTCATTTATGTGATATCTGTGTTTTTATGTGAATTTGAAACCCTGTGTGGTTTAGTCACTGCTGATTGCAGTTTTAGGAATCTTAATTGATATTTTGATTATGTGATTTACTTTATTACAATAGTGGGTTGCTGACTGTAGCCATAGGTTGATTGTTGTGTGAATATCCCTATTTCTGACTTGTTTGTTGTGCTTTTAAATACTTTTGGGAAAAATATTTGTTCTTGTGTTTTTTTTGCAATGATTATTGTGTGTGATATTGCTTGTTCATTTTTTGTTGCTTGTTGCGTTAATTGTTCTTGGGTGTTAAGATTTTGAAAAAAAAAAATTTGTCTGTTTGTATTTTTCTGTGTTTTTCCAAAATCTAAATATTTTTTAAATAAAATTTGTCTTTTCAAAACGTCTCAAAATCATCTTCTAAGTTTGATTCACTTTGATGGAAAAACAGAATTTTCTATATGAAAAATGAAAGGTTTTTTGATTACTCAAAAAGTTTTTAAGACAATTGATGGAAATTATGCTGCAACTGTTTATAATGAATGCAAAGCAGGAATAGATGAGCAAGCACATTCCTTTATAATTATCAATCTTGTTGATTCTATGATTAGAAAAGTTGGAATGGTTAAAACTGCAAAAGATTTGTGGGAAAGATTAGACCAATTATATACTGAAACTTCTTTGCCAAGTAAATTGTATTTGTTGGAAAAAAATTTCAGCTTTAAACTTGATTTGCAAAAGAGCATTGATTAAAATTTAGACATTTTTCATAAATTAATACAAGACATAAAGTTGACTGGGATACTACTATTGATATCTACAATCCTATTGTTTTGTTAAATGCTATACCCAATTCTTATTTAGACATAAAATCTGCTATTAGATATGGTAAAGACTATATAACTTTGGATGTTTTAATAAATGGTTTGAAAAGTAAAGAATTGGATTTAGCTATTAATAATAGTCATAAGTTTTCATCCGGTGAAGTCATGTATACTAGAGGTAGATCTCCTCATAAGAAAGGTAATGCAAATCAAAAGAGTAGTAATAAGAATTTCCAAAACAATAATAATAATAAAAGGAAGAAAATTTATAGAGGTAAGTCTAGGTCTAAGTCTAAAAACCATGAAAGAAAGTGTTTTGGTTGTGAAGAAGTTTGACATTATGTGAAACAATGTACTAAAATAGTTGGGTCTAGTAACAAACAACAACATGTTAATTACACTTCTGATTTTCAGAATTTTGGTGATGTGTATATGGTAAAATCTAATTGTTGTAATGTGAATTTGGTGTGTATGAATGAGTGGTTAATTGATTCAGCTTTTACTTATCACATGACACCCTTAAGAAAAAAATTTTCAAACTACAAGACACTAAATAATTGTATGGTTTTTATGGAAAATGATAAAATTTGTAGAGTTGAAGGTGTTGGCACTGTTCGTCTTAAATTTGAAACCGGTTTTGTGTTAGTTTAAAAAAATGTGAGACATGTGTCCAATTTGTGCAATAATTTGTTGTCTTGTGTGGGTTTAGAGGATATAGGGTTGGAAGGCAAATGGGGAAATGATTTTATGAAAATTTTAAAAGGTTCTTTAGTTGTTTTCAAAGCTGAAAGAATAAAATAACTTGTATGTCACTAAGGTGGAGCTTGTTATAAATTTTGATTTTTCAAATAAAGTGTGTGATGATAAAATTGAATTATGGGATAAAAGACTTGGGCATATAAGTGCTAGAGGTTTAGAAGCTTTACACAAAAATGGTTATTTTAGAAAAGATAAAATTTCTCCTTTACGTTTTTGTGGTGAATGTGTGTATAGAAAACAACATAGAGTTCAATTTCCTAATGGTTCAGTTCCTAAATTGATTAAATCATCTCATATATTGGAATATATACATGGTGATGTGTGGGGCCCTTCTAGTGAGCCCACATATGGTGGTAGTAGGTGTTTTCTTTCTATTATTGATAAATTTTCAAGAAAAGTTTGGGTATTTTTTATGAAGAACAAATATGATGTTTTCAAAATATTCAAATAATGGAAAGTTTTGATTGAAAATCAAACCGGGAAGAAACTTAAGTTTTTAAGGACTGATAATGGCCTTGAATTTTGTAATCAATGGTCAGATTCTTTGTATCTTGAGCATGGTATTATTAGGCACAAAACAGTCCCTTACACACCCTAACAAAATTGGGTGGCTGAAAGGATTAATATAACTCTTTTAAAAAGAGTTAGAAGCATGTTGGCTTCCTCGGGTTTGCCTAAAATGTTTTAGGGAGAGGATGTTATAACAGCAGCCTATTTAGTGAATAGGACCCCATCGATTCCCTTGAATGGGAATTGTCTTGAATCTGTGTGGTTAGAAAAACCTATTGATTTGTCAAATTTAAGGGTGTTTGGTTGTGCTGCGTTTGCTCATATTCTAACTGATAAATTAGAACCTAGGGCAGAGAAATGTGTTTTTCTTGGTTATCCAGAATGTGTTAAAGGCTATAGGTTATAGATTAAAAAGAGTCCTGATTTTAAAATAAATGTAAGTCGTGATGTTACATTTAATGAGCTTGAAATGTCTTGTTTGACGAATGTGTTACCTGTTTCAACTTTTAAATTGATAGTATTCAAAATAAGGTGGAGTTTGATGGTTTTTCATTGAATAATGGTGAAAATGACAATTCTGAAAATTCTGAAAATTTTAAAACAAATTTAAATCAATCTGAAGTAGGTTTTCAATCTAAAAATGTGGGTTCCTGTTCTGATCCTTTTGT